ATCCAAGTAATTCAAGTTTTGTTGTAATAGTTTGACAAATATTATTACTAGTATGTGGATAATTGATTTGTTCAACACAAATCAATACATCATATAATTCCATTTTTTCTGTAAGCCAATGGCATGTAATTCCAATATATCCAGATTTTGCACGAAAAATCCAAAGATCAGTAGTTATAGCAGCTGTATCACAAGTTTGAATAATTATTTCCTTTATAGCTTGAAATGCAACTTGGTAACCAAAACCAATATCTCTTTTGATTGTTACATAACATGGCGGCTGAAATATAGGATCAAACTTATTGATCATACGTAAAAAACCTTTCCCATTTGCTGAATTAAAGAGTGAGAATCTGTTATAAGCCAATCAGTCACAGCATTTCGTAATTCACGTTGTTTAGATTCTTTATGTGATATAACTTTCTTTAATTGTTCATCTATTTTTAATTGTTACTATAAAAGGTTTTAATTAAATTATAAATATAAAAATATTAATTAATTTAACATATAAATAATAAAATATATATCTTACTTTTATTTCAAATATTTTGTGAACTGAATTTAAATGATATTACTGAGTACTAGTTTGAGAGTTATACACATAGTTGTAATTACATTCCTCTTCAATACCAATTTTTAACACTTTATATCGACAATAAGCGCATCCATCAGTTTTAATATCAAAATGCTTCCACATCCAACTAGTTTTGTTAGCTCCACGATCAACCCACTGTAATTCTTGTGATTCTTCTTATTGGTTGGATGAGCCATTATTATTATTTTTTTTACTTGGTCTGGTTAAAATGTTATTTAAACGTTTATTCTTTTTGTATTTGTTTAGCATTTTTAAGTATAAGTTCATGTTTGTGTTGCGATCTTTAAATTAAGATTATATATGTCGATCTTCAACTTCAACCTTATTAGGAAATCTGCATAATTCGTCAAAGTTTCTCCATAAAAAAAACAATGAAAAAAAAATATATATAGGAGGAAAAAAATAATAAAAAATAAGCATTATAAATTAGAAAAAACAAAAGTTTCAGGTAA